GAGCTGGAAAGTATTATCCTAAGCGAAACAAGCCAAACAGAGAAAGACAAGTATCATGTGATCTCACTTATTTGTGGAATATAATGAACATAACAGTCTGAGGAATGGGGTAGTCCCAGAGACGTGGAAGTGGGGTACAGACTGACAATCCCCAGAAGAGGGAGTGGTGAGGGAGAGATAAACCACAGAACTTATATGCATGTATGCATGAACAATGGACATGGACAACAAAGCTGGGGACAGGGCAGGGAGGGATGGGGATGGGGGGAATCAGTGGAGGAAAAAGGAGAAACATCTGTAACAAAATTAAATAAATTAATTAAAAATAAATAAATAAAAGAAAAAAAAATATTTCAATTTGAAGGGGCTGGCTGGAGCTCCAGCGGCCGGCGGCTGCTGAAGGACTAGCCCACCGGCATTTAGTGCTCTGGTTGTCAGATGTTGAAGGCAATAGGGCGGCATATACTCTCCGTGGTTTTATATCCGTCCTGGGGTTCAGTGATTAAAAGTGAATTTTGGTTCCTGTAACTCTTGCCCGTGTCCATAGAGTTAAGCTGAAGCTTTGTTTTAAAGGATAAATAAAGCACAGCCTCTCTCACCTGGACATAAATGGATCTAAAGACAGCAGTATGTATTTCACACAGCTCGGGATGGCAAACTGACTTCTCACCCAGTTGTTAGCAAGCAAATCCCAAGAGCAGATTTCCTCCTTTATCTCTGAAAAAACAAATGGGGCCATGCCTCTTTTGATGGTGGCCAAGTTAGGGCACCTTGACATGATGGAATTCCTCCTAGAGCAGTGCAGTGCCTCCATAGAAATCGGGGGCTTGGTCAGTTTTGATGTTGAAACCATTGAGGGGCTCCCACTTTGTGGGCCGCTTCTGCAGTAGGACATCTGAAGGTGGTTCAGTCTTTGTTAAATCATGGAGCATCTGTCAACAACATGACTTTAACCAATCCAGCTCCTCTTAGAGCTGTCTGTTTTGATGGCCATTTGGAAATCGTGAAGTACCTTGTAGAACACAAAGTGGATTTGGAAGTGTCAAACCGACATGGGCATACCTGCTTGATGATTTCATGTTACAAAGGACATAAAGAATTGCTCAGTATTTTTTTTTTTTTAATCCTCACCTGAGGACATTTTTCGATATTTTTTTCAGATAGAGTGGGAAGGAGAGAGAGAGAGAGAGAGAGAAATATCAACGCGAAAGGGACACATCGAGTGGCTGTCACCCACACGACCCAACCAGGGCTGGGGACAAACTGTAACTGAGGTACATGCCCTTAGTGGGAACTGAACCCGGGTCTCTCCGGACCACAGGCCGATTTTCTTACCACTTAGCAAACCGGCCAGGGCTCAGTATTTACTTGAAAAGGAAGCAGATGTTAATAGAAAAAGTGTTAAAGGTAACACTGCGCTACATGATTGTGCAGAATCTGGAAGTTTGGACATTATGAAGATGCTTCTTATGTATTGTGCCAAGGAAAAGGATGGTTATGAAATGACTCTCCTCTCAGCAAGTGTGACTGGTCACACAAATATTGTGGATTTTCTGACTCACCATGCACAGACCAGCGAGGCAGTGCAGATCAATGCTTTAAAGCTTCTGGGAGCTACATTTGTAAACAAAAAAAGGGATCTTCTTGGGGCTTTAAAATACTGGGAAAAGGCATTGAACATGAGGTACAGTGATAGGACTAATATCACTGTAGCAAACCAGTACCTCAGACACTAATAATGGCTTATGATTATGCCAAGGAAGTAAACAGTTCAGAAGAGCTAGAAGGTCTTATTGCTAATCTTGATGAGATGAGAATGCATGTACTATTAATTAGAGAACGTATTCTTCGTCTTTGTCATTCTGGTATCTCTTACTGTATTAGATATAGAGGCACTGTCTATGCAAATTCTGAAAACTTCAAATGATGCATCAACCTATGGAAGAATGCTTTGGATATGCAGCAGAACAATTTGGACCCTTTAAGCCCCATGACTGCCAGCAGCTTATTATCTTTTGTAGAACTGTTCTCTTTTATGCTACAGGATAGGGCTTAAGGCCTGCTAGGCACCACTGTTACATTTGATGATCTTATGGGCATATTGTGCAAAAATGTCCTTGAAATAGAGTGAGCTAGCAAACAGACTCAGTGTCCAACTGACCCATTACAGTTAAATAAGACTCTTTCCATTATTTTGCACTTAATTTTCTTGTTAGAAAAAGTTCCTTGTACTCTAGAACAGGGACCATTTCAAAAAGCAGACTATATACAGATTTCTTAAACTGCATCCAAGGGGAAAAAATAACTTCAGCCCTCTTCATGTGGCTGCGGACAAGAATACTACATGTGTAGGGCGGTACCCTGTTTGTAAGTTTCCATCTCTGCAAGTTACTGCCATACTGATAGAATGTGGTTCTGATGTGAACGTTAGAGATTTCGATGACAACAGTCCCCTACATATTGTTGCTCTGAACAACCATCCAGACAGACATCATGAATCTCCTTATCAAATCAGGTGTACATTTTGAAGCCATGAACATGCACAAAAAAACTGCTAGTGACTTGTTGGATGAGAAGAAAATAGCTAAAAATTTGATCCAGCCTACAAATCATACTGAATTGCAGTGTCTTGCTGCCTGTGTCATAGTGAATCATAGAATATATTAAAGGGGCATATCCCAGAAAAGCTAATTTAAAATAAAAATAAATAAACAAATATCAAATAACTATGGTGTATATCTGAAACTAATAAGATATTTTATGTCAATTATATGTCAATAAAAAAGAATTGAGATTTGACATGTATGTTAATAACATTTTCATTCTTTTGCTTTTTCAAATCTTGCTCCAATTGTCAGACCATTTTATTTCACAACCTCATTTTCTCTCCCCTTTTTAGTAAATATTTTACTAGTAAGGAAAATAAAATAAAACTGTTATGAATAGTTTCATGTTGATCTGTATTTAGCTTATCATGTAAAATTCATTGTATTCCTAGATTTCTATGTAGAGTTTGCTCACTTATTTCTGTAATAGTTCTGAGTGTTCTCTGAATCTCTGTGGCCCCCTAAAGAAGAAATGTAAATTACACTGTACTTTTTCATTTCCTATTTTCAGACATTATGTCGCTTCAGTGCTTGTAGAATGTCCTTACTAATATGGTACCAAAAGAGTATTATTACAAAACACATAATTTTATCTCTTCTTTTTACTTTTTATTAATTGATTTAATTTTTATTTAAAATTTTTAAATATAAAATTGTATGGGGAACAATATAACAAATATCCATGTAGCCACACTTATATTTTTAATTTTTAATTTTTATTTTTTTATTGTTGAAAGTATTACATATATCCTACCTTTTTTCCCATTGAGCCCCTCCTTCCCGCTCTCACCCCCGTCTTGCCTTCCCCAGCTTAGTGTCCATGTTGATTGGTTGTGCATATAGATAGAATTAATAAATAAACATTTTATTTATTTTATTATTATTTTATTTTATTTTTTTTATCCTCACCTGAGGATATTATTTTCATTTATTTTCAGATAAAGTGGGAGGGAGGGTGGGGGGAAGGGAGAGAGAGAGAAACATTGAGGTGAGAGGGACACATCGACTGATTGCCTCCCACACAACCCTGACCAGGGCTGGGGACGAACTGCAACTGAGGTACATGCCCTTGACCAGAATCGAACCTGGGACTCATTGGTCCGCAGGCTGATGCTCTAACAGCTGAGCCAAACTGGCCAAGGCAAATATTAATATTTTAATGTTTTGCTTAGTAGTTATACATATGTATATATAGTTATATATTTGAAATAGAGAATTTCAGATACAGTTGGAGTCCTCCTTGTTTTCTTCCCTGGCCTCATTTTTCTCCCTCCACAAAGATAAGCAGAGCATAAAATTCACCTGTACCCTCTCAGTCTACATTTAATTTTTACTACGTATGTGTATTCATTTGCTTAGTGTAGTCTGTGTCTGTTTGCTTAGTATTGTTTAGTGTGGTTCTTAAAATTTTACAAAATGACCCTGGACAGGTGGCTCCTTTGGTTGGAGTGTAATCCAGTACACCAAAAGGTTACATTTCTGGTCAGGACACATGCCTAGGTTGCAGCTTCGATCCCTGGTTGAAGTGCATATGGGAGGCCACTAATGGATGTTTCTCTCTCTGTGTCTTCCTCTCTCCCTTCCTTTCTCTCTCAAATCAATAAAAACATATCAAGTGAGGATTTTAAAAATTTTTACAAAATAAGTAAGTGTTCTCCTTTCATATGTATCATTCTGCAATTTGCTTTATTCAACCAACATTGTTTTTAAGATGTATGCATGTTCATAACATATAGATCTATTTAATTTATTTAACTAAGTATCCTAATGATTAAAATAGTATAGTTTAGCCCTGGGCGGTTTGGCTCAGCGGTTAGAGTATCAGCCCGTGGTCCAGAGAGATCCGGGTTCAGTTCCCACTAAGGGCGCATACCTTGGTTGCAGTTTGTCCCTGGCACTGGTTGGGTCGTGCGGGTGGCAGCCACTCGATGTGTCCTTTCACGTCGATGTTTCTCTCTCTCTCTCTCTCTTCCTCTCTCTCCCTCCTGCTCTATCTGAATAAAAAAATGGAAAAATGTCCTCGAGTGAGGATAAAAAAATATATAGTATAGTTTATCTATTTTCTTTCAATGATTTTTAAATTGTTTTTATTTTATTTTATTTTTTTGCAAATAGTTGGCCTACTTTTAATATGTAGTCAACCAGTCAACAAGGGCTGATTGCAACTTTAGTCACCTTTCTCTAAAGAGTTTACAATCTAGTAGGGGACACCAAACTTAAAAACCTGGCCAGTGTAGAAGTAAGATGGGATAGAAACTGAACTCTGTCCAGTCTTCATTGGGTAACTTTTTCTGGTTGACTCTTAAGGTCTTTTGGTTGCAGGTATGCTTTATATAAAGTTACTATGCTTTCAGAGTAAATCTTTAACTTCTTAAAATAATTTGTTTCTTTTAGGTGCTTGCTTAAACTGCCAGGGAAATAGCAAAGGGGATCACTGTGAAGAATGCAAAGAAGGATTTTACCAGAGTCCTGATGCCACTAAAGAATGTCTTCGCTGCCCTTGTTCAGCAGTGACATCTACAGGCAATTGTATCATAAGTAAGGCCTTTCTTTAAATTTTTATTTTTAGAGGAAAAATGAGTGAATCAGTTTTCAATAGGTATACAATATGTTGATAAATAAAGTTCTGGGTGCTGTAGATGAAAGAGAGTTATAAAAAGAGCAAAGCTTTCCTTTCTAGGAATTTGCAGTGAAATACAAATACATATATGAAATGAGACTTGAGGGAGGGATGAGGAACTTTTTGTTAAAATCATATTTTATTTCATCTGTTATGACTAAAGAGGAAAGGATAAGGAAACTGGGTGCTTATCCATTGTAATTATTCAGGTTTCTTATGTGAGCATATTTATTTTGTTCTGAATAGGTTCTCTGATGGCCTCATCATGCTCACGATAAATTTGACAATTAATAAATAAGAGGTAGATTTTTAGTTTGATTCCATGTGTCTCTTAAGTTTGAGAGAGATAGTAAGGAAAGCTTATAACCCTTTTTGAGAATTAGTAGTAGTTTTGCAATTTCAGTTGTAGCTTGATACTGAACTAAATTATTTTGATGTTCTCTCTGTTTTAGAATTGGGTGAAGTGGAACCTAAATGTGTCCAGTGTAAAGAGGGTTACACAGGCCAGAACTGCAATAAATGTGAAAATGGCTATTACAATTATGACAGCATCTGTATGAAGTGCCAATGTCATGGTCACGTGGACCCAATTAAAACTCCAAAGATTTGCAAGCCCGAGAGTGGTGAGTGCATCAACTGCCTCCATAACACCACTGGGTTTCGGTGTGAGAACTGCCTAGAAGGTTATGTTCGAGACCTCGAAGAAAATTGCATCAAGAAAGGTAAACTTCACCTAAGGTTGTAAATTTAATATCTAAGCCTAGCATTGAAAATTTCAGGACAGCTACCTTTAGCTTTGTAAAACCTTCCAATCCCACAAGAGGAGTTCTCTGGAAATAGATTTTGATAGATATTTGCCGAAAGAGATTTCTTTCCATTCCTGCTGCTCTCCTGATACTCCAAAGTGAACTTCAGAAATGTGAGGACCAACACCAAGTCATTGCAGTGTTTTCACATTTTCTCTTCATCTACTTTTATTTTTATGTTAACAATTTAAAAGTCCTATCATTTTTTTTTATCCTTTGCTTCCTGTATTCTCATCACCTCCAGTGATCACCAAAGGCTTTTTAAATAGGGACCTATAATCTGGTTAGAAGTTCCAGCTGAGAAAAAAAGAGATCATTCTAGCATATATCCTAACTTTGGGCCTAAGTTTTCCCATGTGTGATAGAGGAAATAGTAATAATATTCCTTTTGATTTTTAAAAGAAAAGGTTATTCATATGGCAAAATGTTTCTTATAGGGAGGTTCAGTAAGGGTTTAGATACAAATTAATGATTAGAAATTCAGGACGAATTAAGAATATTCAGGCTTTATTAGGTCACAGAGAGATTAGATCATGTTCTTCTACAAACTACCCTTTGATATTCTGACAGATGCTGAATACTGGGCTGATGAACACTTGGCCTGTGGCAAGGGTTGTCCTTCTGCCATTGTCTTGGTATCCTTGTTCTGTTGTGATCAATGCTAAAAACTCAGATTGAACCTTATCACTAGCCTGGAGATCCTGTCACTTAGTTCTCTTTCCCATTCAGAGGCATACTTTGTCTATACTTAGCTGTAGGATTGTGATGATTTTTCTTATTAGTTATTAAATAATTAAAAGCATGCCTCTTTTTAGGATAAATTGATGTGGCTGATTGTGATGAAGAATTATAAAGATAAAAGTAATAATTTTGTTGAATGACTACTATGTGCCAAGCACTGTAAACACCATATATAACAATGTTATATAGTATGTTATTGCATTTAATCCTTCCCAAGAACTTTGCAAAGTAGATATTCCCATTTATAGATGAGAAACCTCAGTTTTAAAAGGATTAACTGATTTACCTATCACCACACAGTTCTACTTAATTCCAGAGCCTTTCCACTGAGCTGTGCTGCATTAGGAGTACAAAGTGCAGTACATTAACTGTGAAATAGCTCTAATCTACACAGAGTAAGAGTTCCTACACATGAAATGAAAGGAAGTCTCTTTTCTCTCTTGACTGACGTCAACTTTGGACATTTAAATTGTGTTATTCAGAAATAACTAGAAATACAATTTTTTTTCTATTTTGTTTTTGCCTCCTTTGAAGAGAAGTTTGCCCTTATGAAATGCCGTCAGACATACTGCACTTATTTCAAATGATTGTCATCTATCCTTGTCACATTTAACCAAGTGATTTAGGACTCAGTAGTGATATATTTACTGCCTTTTTAGGAATTTGTATGAATCTATCCAAGAGTAAAGAAGGATGGAAAATTCCAACATTAGAATTTTTCCAAAGATTTTAATATAGATATTACACATTTTGAAGGATATAATAATCAAGCTTTCTAGACCCTGATTCTTTTCACTATATTTCTCTAAAAATTATTTTTAACTTGTATGATCTTAAAGTAGAATATCATGTCAACATGCCATATCAACTTCCACTCCCATGTATTTCTTTTATTGTTTCTTAAAACGAGATAATTTTGTCTTTTACATTTCATTCTCTGTTTTTATTTTCAGAAGTTATTGTTCCAACACCTGAAGGTTCTACCATTTTGGTTTCCAATGCCTCTTTGACCACATCAGTGCCCACCCCTGTTATAAATAGTACACTTAGCCCCACAACCCTGCAGACTACCTTTTCAGTAAGCTCTGCTGAAAACAGCACGTCAGCTTTAGCTGATGTATCATGGACCCAATTTAACATCATCATTTTGACTGTCATCATCATTGTGGTGGTGCTGCTGATGGGATTTGTGGGGGCTGTATATATGTACCGGGAGTACCAAAACCGGAAACTCAATGCCCCCTTTTGGACCATCGAACTGAAAGAAGACAATATTAGTTTCAGCAGCTACCATGACAGCATTCCCAATGCAGATGTGTCAGGATTGTTGGAAGATGATGGCAATGAAGTGGCTCCCAATGGGCAACTGACCCTGACGACACCCATGCATAACTACAAAGCCTAAAGAGCTAGAACTGTTCACCTGGATTGTTAGCCAGCATCAGCCCCTGGGCCAGACAGAGCCTGGGTAGAGTTTGCTGAGAAAACAAAGACATATAGCGCATCAAAGTTTTCAGATACAGTTCATAATGCACTTAGCCTGTTACTTTTAGTTTTCCCATGAAGATCTGAAGCAGTCACTGTCAATAAGGACTTGAAGCAAAGTATATTTTTGTACAAACCACATGGGAATATAGAAAGGCTGAACCCCATAGTGCAGCCCTAATCGCTTTGACCTCCAAATAGACTCCTGGGGAGTGTTCACTCAACCAGTGGAAACAGGATGATGGATGTGGAGGGGGAAAGGACTGCCGGAAGACTTCATCTCCATTCCTGAAACATTTTTTAAAAAGGAGGGTCAGGGACAATATTAATTTTATTGTACTAAAAGACATCATTGAGGAAAAGTTGATGTCTGGGCTGTATCACAACAAACAATCTTGATTGTTTCTAGAATAGGAGCAGAAAAATCTCAAGAAGGTCTTTAGAAGGATTTCATTTTTCCTTCCAGAATTCTTGCTCAATAATAGGATTAAAGCACAGGATAAGCTTCTAATGGTACAGAGAGGAAGGCAACATGTGGGAGCAGGAAGATGATAGTCCTCCTTAGTGTAAATGATAAATTGTCTAAAAATAAGGAATATTCCTGCCTCTAGAGACATAAGGTGTATATAGTTAATGTAGCATATCTGGTCAACATTGTATTTGTATCTATTTGTAAAAAATCATGTCATATTTTATCATCTAGAATGTATTTGTACAGCAGTTAATGGCATTGTAAAAAGAAAATGTGGGGATTGGTTAAAATAATGTAAAATAGATGGCAATATTGCTAGAGCTGGGACTCTGGTGAGCATCAGTCATTTTTAGTCCCTCTTTGGACATTGTTGAAATTTATAAGAGGTTGAATGTTTCTAATCTTTCTTTCCCTTTCTCATTCTAAATGTAGAATTATGTGTTCTTTTACTTATAGATTCAAGCAATAGATTTTGAAGTCAGTGATTGTTAATCTGGGACACAGGCTGTACTCTCCAAGCTACTCAAACATTAGCCACTCTCTATATTTTATATAAATTAATGTAGAACATATCATCATTAAAAATGTTTTTAATTTAAAAGATAGTCTTCCAAAGGAATTAGAAATACTTTAGTTCCAAAAGAAAAGCCATTATATCACTTGGTGTCCCATTTTCATGCCTGTGAAAAATTTATATTTCTCCCCCACCCCAAAAATATCTCCTCCACTTGAACATAGCCTGTCACTCATACACAAAGGTATGTACCATTTCTCTGCAGGGCTACAGTTCTTCTGTCCTTCTTGTCCAGGTAAGACTGGCACTGTAGTTGAACAGATATGGTTAGTTCTTGCTTTTAGGTGCAGTTTTTCCCTAGAGGCCATTCGTTGCTGCTCTCATTTATTATGATATTGACAGATTGTGGATTAAACAAGTCAGGAAAAGCAGCCAGAAGACAACTATACATATTTATTAGGCAGAACATAAAACTATTCAAGTCATTAACAAAAAGAGTTAATACTTATTAGACCTAGGAGATCTAAGTAGACAACTTTGCCAACTTCCCCAGGGAAAATACGGAATTTGGCTATCCCTCTGAAGACCACCACTAAGTTGTTCTCAGGGTTTGGAGATGATGCTCTGAAGGATGTACAGGCAGATAATCTACTTCTGGTAAACTAAGGTGCTCCCAATATTTGGCCATTTCTCATGAGAGTAAAGATTACATTATGTTACATCATATTAAAATAAGTTAATATTTCTATAGCCCTTTGTTGTTTGCAACGCATCTTTCCACATTTGTTTCTTTTGTTCCTCACAACAGCCCCCTGAGGAAGTAATTGCCGTCCCCATTTTATAGATGAGGTTAAATGTCTTGGAATTGGGCCTCCTCGCTCTGAAGCATATTTTCTTTCAACCATATGCTAATGCAGAAATTGCCTAACCACACTCATGAGAAGGCTGGGAAGAAGAGTCCCATCTGTGAATGTTTCTAATTTTTTAAGGTGCCATCTAGGACCATATGGCTATGAAGGACTATGTGGAAAGAACACAGGAAGATTACTATTTGAAGCCAGTATTGGTGATAAGAGAATAAAAATACCAGTTCTTGCTTCCTTAAAGTGAACTAATCCTTCTAAACAGGGAGAGAAAACCTGCTTTCCCCAGCAGCTGCCACATATGTGTGTATAGACTGTGCATTGCGCATTTTCAGGAGTGGTGCAAAGTGGCATACCTGCCTTTCTCAAGATTGCCACCCCCTCAAAGCCAGGGATTGATGGTGAGAAATAAACATTCGATAAACAGATGTTAATCCAATAGAGAAAGGGGTGTTTATTGTGGTCTAAGAGTCAAAGCCAAATACTCCAATTTCTGGCCATGTACAGATTCCTTGAAACAGACCTTAGAAGGTATTGCAAAAATTGAATCACAAAGAATGTTTACCTTTAAATACTTATAAATAATCCTAGATCATGTTTTCAGTTTTTCCCAATGAAAAACAAAATTGAAGACTTAAAAATTTTTTAATAATATTTTATGTCCTTTCTTTTTTCTGGTGGAAATAATTTTGCTTTAAAATTTAAGTCAATCATGAAGAAAACTAACATGGAATGCATGACACAGTATTCATTTCTCTAAAGTCATGATCCCATGAACTAGGGCATTTAGCACGAGGATCCCATCAGTCTTTTAGAAAGACTAACGTTGGAATCGTTTGTGTCTAAAGATTAGGAATGTGTTTATTTTCAAATAAGTCTAGTATGAATCTTCTTGATAAATGACAGATATTGCTATTAAGTGATACTGTTATCTTCATTGATTAATTTTAGCAAGCACATAGCATTTCTGATAGTTAGGTGCCCTAGGTAGTTTTGTTAAATATTTCTGTCCTTCCTTGTTTTTCCCTCCCTCTCTCCCTCCCTCTATCCTCTAGCTCCCAGAGGTCTTTTATTAATGAAGTTTCTTAAGTTATAGAGAAAAATGATAATAACAACTAAGCCTCATTTATACCAAGGTCCTATGGACTTAATGTGTTACTCTTAGGGATACCTAAAATTTAAGAGAGGATAAAAGAGTAGACATGGGATGGGAGGAGAGAAATTTTGGGGAGAGAGGATTTGTAGAAGCATCACAATATATGGCTACTTTCTAACCCAATGTCCACAGGAAAATTGACCATTAAAGCAACACTCACTGACCCCAAGTTCATTTCTGTCAGCTGAGTTGGTCATTTTGGAGGCATAAAGTTTTCGAAACAACAGTGCTTCCTTTTAACAGCCTCCATTGATCATATTATTCCATTATTTACATTAGCCCTATATTTTTTGTAGGACACATGGTGAACATAACACCACTTGTAATGAACATTCCCTGGGTCATACATGTTGAAGTATATAGGTAGGAATTGAATTTACACATCTCAAGGAAAGCTCTCTGACTAAAGTTCAGAGAAGTAAAAAGCAACCCAATGTAACCAGTTAGAGTAAGAAAGCACTTCTGGTCTCATCCACAAAGAACCTTTGGTCTGTATGATCTTGACAGTAAGGAGTTTGGGAGCTAAAATGAGTTTGGTGTGTGCAGGGGAGTAATAATGGAAGGTTAATGCAAGTTTTCTCTTTAACCCTGAGCCAGTGACTATGCCAAAGGGCAAAGCAGGAAGAACACGCTGATTCATCAGAAGAAGTCCAATAATATCAAATGGACTACAGGTTATGGATCATTAAAATGTCAGTGGCTGAATGATGCCTTTTCAAAGGCAGTTGGGAATCTGTCTTACGCGCAGAAACTGCAGCAGCAACCCTGGAATGTGAGCCCAGGGCTCCAGATTTAAGTTAATGCAAAAGCTAAACGATTTAAAGTTAAATTTTAATGCTAGGCACAAGCACTCTGTAATACATTAAATTCCAGCCTAAGCAATTAGGGAATGTTTCTGAAACATTAAACTTGTATTTATGTCACTAAAATTCTAACACAAATTTAAAAAATGTGTTCTCATACATATGCTGTACTAGGCTTCATGATGCGTTTCTAAATTTGTGTATGATTTGAATATATAAAAGACTTTATACAAGAGTGTTATTTAAAATTATTAAAAATAAATGTATATAATTTGTACTTATTGTAGATTTGTTGTTTTACTTTTTTTATGTGGTCAGAGTTGTTGGAAGTCTTTTTTTGTTAATCCTCACCCAAGGATATTTTTTTCCATTGATTTTTAGAGAGAGTGTAAGGGAGTGGGGAGGGGAGGAGAGAGAGAGAGAGAGAGAGAGAGAGAACATCAATGTGAGAGAAACACATCAGTTGGTTCCTCCTGCATGTGTCTTGACCAGGGTGGGATTGAACCCGCAACCCAGGTATGTGCTCTTGACTGGGAATTGAACCCTCAACCCTTTGGTCCATGGGCTGACACTCTAACTGCTGAGCCACGCCAGCCAGGGCAGGAAGTCTTTTGATATATGTCACAGATCATTTATTTTCAAACCATGTCATGACAACCTTGAACCCTTCATTTGTTGACTATGCTTTTTGTTCTAAGAAATTTCTTCTTAAGAAAGTTTTCCACTTTAGGAAAAAATGCCACATAAAGAAGATTCCCCCTTCTTTGAATAAAAAACAAACAAACACACACACCCTGAGGGATAAAACTCACATATATTAACATATATTCTTATTTGTGCTTTTGTTTGTTCCCTCAGATCCATTGGGATTTCCATGGAAATGTTATGGGAGAAAAACTTGCTCCTTTTGTATTGCCTTTTCATACATGTAAAAAAGTTACTTTTAATATAATTTTGAAGGGCCTGCAACCGTGTTCTACATGTTTATTAGATAGCTGGTAATGAGAGTACATCTTTATTATTTTGAGGTACCCTTGAAGATCCTCTGTTTTGACAAAGTTCAGTGGTGTGGAATGGGATGCCACTTGGAGATCCAGGGGGCACTTTGAAAAAGAAGGAAAGCTACGGCTATTCTTTGTGGTGACAGCTTTATAAACATCAACTGGTTTATTCAAAGCCAGTTGATATTTAAACTTTATTACCTTGTTTTTCTTTTCTAGTCACACAAGAAAACAAGTTTTATTAATTTATAATCTCACCTTATAGTTTATACATAGGGTTCTATACATGTAGATCTATGATGTCCATGAATTGGGTATTGTTTAAGAGAAGAGAATAAGCATGGCAGAAATCCAAGCAAATTAAAATTTTAAGAGAAAGTAAAGACAAATTTACAACAGCAAGAGGAAAAAACATTACTTTTATAGTATTTTAGTCATACTTTTCATGAAAGTCCATCAAGTAAAGACTTTTTCTAGATTGCATTATCAAAATTGGTTGTATTCATTTTCCATAGAAGTATAAGGTGAATGTGTTTTTTAAAATCTTCGAATTAAATCAATAACTTCAAAGTAGCAATTATGCTTAGTTACACTTAAAAAGTTAAGCTAAATTCAAAACCACACAATGTTTTTTCATGAGATGATAGTACTAGGAGTGTTAATGGACAGGCTAAAAAGCAGCATTCTCAGTGAATGTTAAAAAATCATAATTTTACCTATGTTAGTTTTTTAGGAGTTATTTATGAAGAAATTATTGTCATAATTATTGTACAGGCTTCCTAATACTTCTGCTTACCAATTGCAAGCCACCAGACAATGTGAAATTTAAAATGTGTTGCCCGTTTGTATTAATAGGGAGTTTTGAACCTTGTATGTTGAACACCGAACTTCAGATAGCTGCAGCAAAAACAAGCAAATTGTTTCTTTGTATGTAGTAAGAATAGATTTGAGTAATAAAGGAAGTATTTGGGAGGAAACCTTCTTTTGTGGTTTCCTTTGTGTTGTCAGACCAACTGCTAAAGTCTTATATGACAATGTTTTTCTTAGTCTCTGGCCCAAACAAGGAAGAGCTTTAGCTTTTCCTTATGTTCACTACCATGCTGACCCAACCAGGTTCAACTCATGTATAATTTCCTGTATCTGCCAAGTCACACGACGTGCCTCTCCCTTTGCTGGGCTGTTTCTTCTATCTATAGCATCCTGGAGACCGCTTCTTCATTCTTTGCAAAAGGAAGTTGATTAATCTGTAATTTGTATCTCCACTTTGTCTAATGAAAACCTCTCTCTCTCTCTTTTATTTTTTTATCCTTTTAAAATTTATTTTAAAAAGATAAATTTTTGCATTTATCTTCAGATAGAGCGGGGGCAGAAAGGGTGGAAGACAGAGAGAGAAACATCAATGTGAAAGAGACACATGACCCCAACAAGGGCCAGGGATGAACTGCAACCGAATTACATGCCCTTAGCGGGAACCGAACCTGGGTCTCTCTGGTCCGCGGGCTGACGCTCTAACTGCTGAGCCAAACCAGTCAGGGCTCACTGTATTCTTTTTAAAACTATGTATGTTTATATACACACACATATACTCTAGTATATATGTAACATTTCATAGTGAAATATTTTAATACATAAAATGGTTTATACAACATGATTTTGACTATGGTGGAAAATACAGAAGATGTTTGGAAGAAAATACCATGACTTAGTAATATCTGTACTAAAGATAATGGTAAAACAATAAATTCATCAGGAGGATATAGCAATCCTGAATGTTTATGCACTTGATAAAAGAGCTTCAGAATACATGAAGCAAAACTGTTAATACGAAAAGAGAAATAGGCAAAACTGTAATCACAGTTGGAGATTGCAACCCCTCTCTCAATAACGTATAGAATAAGTAGACAGAAAACCAGTAAGGATATAGAATACGCGAATAACAGTATCACCAACTTGACCGAATTGACTTAGATCAGTCACCTGACAACAGCAGGGTGTACATATTTTCAACTGCTCATGGAACATTTACTATGATAGAGCATCCACTTGTCCATAAAATAAATCTTAAAAAAATTTTAAAATATCCAATCATACAAAATATGTTTTCTGATCACATGGAATTAAATGAGAAATTAGTAACAAATATATCTGGGAAATTCTGAAATACTTAAAAACCAACATACTTCTGAATAATGCATAGGTCAAAGAAGAAATAAAAAATTAGGATGCATTTGAACTGAATTAAAATGAAAAAATGTTTCAAATTTGTGGAATGCAGCTGAAGTAGGGCTTAGAGGGAAATTCAGAGCACTGAATGTTTATATGAGAAAAGAGGAAAGATCTCAAATCAATGACCTAAGCTTCTATATTAAAAAACTAGAGAGGGAAGAGTAAAACCCCAAACAAGCAGAAGATAAGAAATAATAAAGATAAGGGCAGCCCTGGCCGGTTTGGCTCAGTTGTTAGAGCGCCCGCCTGCGGTCCGGAGAGACCCGGGTTCGGTTCCCGTTAAGGGCATGTACCTTGGTTGCAGTTTGTCCCCGGCCCTGGTTGGTCATGCGGGTGGCAGCCACTCGATGTGTCCCTTTCACATCGATGTTTCTCTCTCTCTCTCTTCCTCTCTCTCCCTCCCACTCTGTCTGTACAAAAAATGGAAAAATGTCCTTGGGTGAGGATAAAAAAAAAAAAAAAAGATAAGGGCAAAAATAAATACAAAAGAAAATGAGAGAAAAATCAGTGTAACTAAAAGTTGTTTCTTTGATAAATTCAATAAAATTGGTAAACTTCCAACCAGAATAATCAAGAAAATAATAAAAAGAGAGAAGACACACAAAAGCAATACCAGGAATGAGAGAGGCATTATAACTATAGATCCTACAGCCTACAGACATTAAAAGAATAATAAGGGAAGTTCAGCCCATAAATTTGATGACTTAGGTGAAATGTACAGATTCTTGAAAGGCACAGACTAGCCATGCTCACTCAAAAATAAAATAAAATAATAAAATAAAATAAGTATCCCTTTATCCATTAAAGAAACTGAATTTGTATTTAACAACCTCCCACAAAGAAAACACTAGATCCAGATAGCTTCACTGGTGAATTCTATGGAACACTTAAAGAAGTAACACCAATAGCCAGGCCGCTGTGGCTCAGTGGTTGAGCGTTGACCCATGCACCAAGAGGTCGCTAGTTCGATTCCCGGTCAGGGCACATGCCCAGGTTGTGGGCCAAATCCTTAGTGGGCGGCATGCAGGAGGTGACCAATCGATGTTTTCTCTCATCTAGTTCGATTCCCGGTCAGGGCACATGCCCAGGTTGTGGGCCAAATCCTTAGTGGGCGGCATGCAGGAGGTGACCAATCGATGTTTTCTCTCATCGATGTTTCTAGCTCTTTCTCCCTCTCCTTTCCTCTTTCTCTAAAATCAATAAAGAAAAAGAAAAAGAAATAACACCAATTAAACACCAACTCTTCCAGAAAAATCAGTAGGACTAGCATTGATTGCCCTGACACTAAAACCAGACAATGACATCAAAAGAAGGAGGAGAAGGAGAAGGAGAAGCAGCAGCAGCTGCAGTTCCCTAAGATCAAGTCACTTGTTCAATCTGAGGGCTGGGACTGTCTTCATCTTTTAATCCCATGGCCAAGCACAGACCCTGGTACCAAAAAGAGCCCAATAAATGCTAGAGAAAGAAAGAGCGAGTGATTGAATCAGCTGTGTTGCAGTTTTTACACTAGTAAATACGGTAAAGACATATATTGCAGTTAGTAGGCTTTGAATTAATTAGAGCAAGCCTAAACCAAAAAACAAATATACTGTTATTTGGGGAAGCACCAAAGTCACTTGTAAGTAGGGATGTTTTTGAGTGACCCTAGGAACAAATAGCACAAAATTTCCTGCAGTGGCATGGTGCTGATGAAGCTCATTCCTTCAGCGCAGAGAGACCTCGCCCACAGACTGGATGGCATATCCTCAGATGCTGTGGCATGTGCTGAGTGGGTAGGAAGCAGACTTAGTTTCCTACACGGATACTTTTGGTGCCCTCCCCTTCCTACCTTTATTTTCAGTAGCTTCGGAACTAACAGGCTATAGCTCAGCTTTTTCATTTCCCCCAAACATTTTCTAAATGAGCCATTATTATCTTTTATCACCATAGCTAGGGGATTATCCAGCTTCATTTTAAGGGGCTATTTTTATCAAGAGATGAGATTCTTCCAGACAAGGATAGAAACACTAATGGCTGTCTATTAAGATTCTGTTTAGTTGAGATAATAATT